TGTGTGTGTGTGTGTGTGTGTGTGTTTGTGTGTGTGTAGATTAATACCATCCGTCCGAGACTACCCAGCTGACGGGAGACAAGGCAAACAAACATGTAGCTTGGCAAGCTGAGGTAGGTTAGGATACAACTCACCGCTTTGATTGAAGGCCTTGCTGCAAATCTCGCAGACGTAGGGCTTCTCGCCGGTGTGAATGCGCTCGTGCACCTTGAGCACATTCATCAGGCTGAAGGCCTTGTGGCAGTACCGACAAACGAACTTTCTGGGCCGTTTCTCTTCGCCATTCACCACGATCCCCGAGGCCAGTTGCCCCAAAGATGGCGTCGCGGTGAACCTTCCGTTTGCCTCGACCTCGACTCCGGTTGCCTCGTGGCCGCAGTCGTTCGGAGCCAAATTGTCGCCCAACACTTTCGCAAGCCGCTCAACTCGGCCTGTCTCCTCCTCCTCTTCCTCGTCCTCGTCTGCCTCGTCATCCTCCTCGTCCGGCTCCCTCTCCTCCTGTAGCCCTTCCCCTTCTTCCTCCTCTCCCCCTTCGCCCTCCAACTCTTCCTCCTCTTCCTCCTCTTCCTCCTCCGCTTCCCTCTCTGCCCCCTCTTCCTCCTCCTCTTCCTCTTCCTCCTCCTTCTTTTCATCCTTCCCTTGCTTCTCCTCTTCCGCCTCCTCTGCCGTCGTCTCTGCCTTCTCCTCCTCGTCCGTCATAAGACCGGCCTTTTCGTGTGAGCTGAGATGGTCTAAAGCCTTGGCAACTTCCGGCTTGATGACGTGTTGCTGAGGCTTGAGGAGACCGAGCGAACCGCAGTCTTGAATCTGCTGCGAGTCGAAAGTGTCGTCATGCCTGCTACCGGGCCTTCGCTTGGCCTGGCAACCGGCAGTCACCGGCACCGCAGGTGCTGCGGAGCTCGCAGACTGGCCATTCACATCGGTCTGGAGGCAGCGTCTCTTCTTCTCACCCATGCCTGTGGTACAGTTGCCTCCGGTCCGGCGCACTGAGCAGCTGGTGGGCGCAAGTCGCGTGGGGCAGACGAGTCCGACTGGTGACCGGTATCCACGCCGCTGCGCCTCCCCACCTCGGCCGGTCGGCTCCGCGTCCGACTGGTCGGCCCGTGGCAATGGCATCCAGTCGAGCACCGGCTCCATCGGCCTGGCGAAGTGCCGATCGAGACTGCACACACACACACACACACAATCAGATAGAGAAAAGGGTAGACACACAAGTGTACACGGTACAGCCAGCACCTGCCTGGGCTTCAGACTGGTTGCTCAGTCTTGAGCAACGTCGACGAGCCTCGAGCGGCCCTCTTCGAGACCACAGGCTCGGTGCTGCGGACGTCCGAAAGTAGGAGACGGTCTGGTGGAAAGCGGTACTGACAAGGTGGGCGGCTCTACAAGTCG